CTTCGCCTCCTCCCCCTCCTCCTCCTGTTTCTCCTCCCCTTCCTGCTCATCCTTCTCATCCACCTCCCCTCCCTCATTATCCTCCTCATCCTCGCCGTGTTATCCTGACCTCCTGCCCCCCAGATCCCGCCCGAATATCGACGGCTTGTGTATTACTTATGCACTATCGGGGAAGACGCAGAGGTCGACGTCCTACTCTTCCTTCTCCTGATGTATCCTCACATCCTCATCCAGCTCCCTCGATATCGGTCGAACCGAAACCGCAGCACTTCGTCGACCACAGCTGCGACCCCCCCACGTACGACAGACATGGGTTCCTGGCGGCCCACGGCAAGTATCACATCGAAAAGCTGCAGTTCGAAACCGAGGTCATCCTCAGCCGTCTGCTGCTGCTGCCGCTCCTCCTCCTCCTCCTCCTCCTCATCATCATCATCATCATCATCATCCTCCTCCTGCTCTTCATTATCCTAGTCTGCCTCCTCTGACTCCTCGCCTTTCTTCTCTTACTCTCGGTCATTCGGCTGCGAATCGAGGACATGGAACCCGCTCCCAGCATCATGCCCGAGGTCGTGTCTGACAGGCTGAGGCCAGAACAGTGCAGCTTGATGGACCCCAAAACTAAAGCGGTGTTTCGTGCCAGAATACAACGGGCCAGGGTCGATTTCATCTGCCGCTGGAGGGAGAACAGCAAGTTAAAGGACCGCCTGGTCCCACTCGCCCCCCCCCCCCCATTTTCAAACCGATCTTAAACAGTTCCATTAAGGAAGTCTCCGAGTACATTAAGCTGAGGGCACAGCTCGACAAGAAACTCTCGTCGCACTAGGCCACCAATCCTGCACCTCTCCCCCACCTGTCCATCTTTTGCCCATCATCGCTCCCCTCGAAAGGCAGAGATGTCCGACATGGACTCGCCGCCAGAGAACTTCATGAACCAACTCGATCTGAGGGACGCCGTCCGCTAGACTCGAGGCCGTTGCCAACCAAGCGGGGGCCCAGAAAAAAAAAAACGGAACACGACTGAACGTACGGGGCAGGGCCTCGGGGAGGCCCAAGTTGGGAGCCGATGGACTGGCAGGAAGAGGAGGCCCCGAGGAGGACGGAGGAGGGACGGACGAAGGAACGAGAGGGGAGGGAGAGGGACAGGAGGGAGATGAGAGGGCGAGAGGAGGGAGAGAACGGGGAAGCGTGAGAGGATAAGTTTTTTTTTTTTTTCAGATGACATTCGAAGCACTCAGACACGAATCAAATCAACCCCAACCCTCAGCCAGTTTCTGGCCCAAGTCCTGGTGCCCGAGCGGCGCCCTGGCCCGAAGGACACAGACCTGCGCAGCGCGGGACCATGGCGTCTCAGGAGCCAGAGTCGTTGCCTGACAGCAATGATCAGGGTCCCGACGAGACTGTGCCCAGCTCCCCCGTCGAGACCCAGACGCTCGGGGTCGAGGCAGACAGCGAGCAACCCGCCGAGCCCGTGGCCCTCATGCCGCCCTGTGAGGGCAACGGCGGCACCGGGCCCGAGGACGATAGCTCCGACACCCAGCCAGCTACTCAGACTGAGATCGATGCAACGATGGCTGAGGCATCGATGGACCAGGCGTTCACCAGCCAGGTCCTGGAGGATCCGTATGCCGACGTGGTGGAGGTCAGCTCCGATGATGGCGAGGAGCAGGACTACCTCCACCAGCTCAAAATGAAGATTGAGGAGCAAGAGGTGGAGGACGCAGACGGGCTGCTAGACGCCTGCGCCGAGGATAGCGAGGACGTGGATGTGGATTTCGCCAAGAGGGTGACGGAGGCCAGCATGAAGATTTATGCGATGAAGGAGACGGGGGTCGAGGCCTCGACAGCCGTGCCATCGACAGCTGCGTCATCTTGGGTAGGCTCGGATGGCGACGTTGGTCGAGCACGCGACTTGGAGGCCATGCTTGAGGATGAGGCCAACAGCCTGATGAGCGCAGGTCGCGACCTTCCAGCGAGTATGGACAAGCTCATGGCCGACGCCCACAAGGCCACCAGCAATGATAACTTGTTGTCGGATATGGATGTCTTGAACTTGAATGAGCCGAGGGCGAAATTCTTCAAGCAGATGATGGCGCAGGATTGGAAATTCGATGCTCGGGGTGCCGCTGGCAATCCAGCGGGCGGCCAGTGGGACAGATTCATCAACGGCAAGAGCGAAGAGAGCATCGAAGCGAAGCAGAACTACAAAGCACTTGGCCGCAACCCCGATGCGCAGCGCGACTTCCGCGCGAGGTGGATGAAGAAGCAGTTCACGGAGTGGAAGCAGGAGAAGGTCAAGATGGAGCGCTTGTCGAGGAGGACCTTCTCTGACGAGCGCTACTACGTGCTGAACCGCATCATCACGGAGGAGGGCGGGGGCAAGAGAGGAGAACAGAACGCGATCAACTACACGTTGAAATGCGTTGCGATGGGGCCACCGTTCTACAAGTGGTGCACGTGGCGCAAGGACTGGCTGTACCTTTACAGGATCGACGGCATCGAGGAGTCGTACGAGGAGCGCTGGCAGCTGACGAAGACGGCCTACAGCTCGGGCAGCACCGATATCAAGAACAAGGACTCCTGGCTGAGCATCGGCACGAGGGCTGCAATGTTGCAGAATGAGGCGGCTCCTGCGCCGCCTGCACCGCCTGCAGAGGCGCAGGTGGAGCCCGAGGAGAAGCCCGAGGTGACGGCAGAGGAGAAGGCAGAGGAGACGGCAGAGCCGAAAGCCGAGGATGAGACGCAGCCAGAGCCTCCCACAGAGCCTGAGGGTCGCAGGAGGAGGCGCAAGGGTCCTGAGCAGCCAGCTGCAGAGCCTCCAACTCCAGAAGAGCAACCCAAGAAGAGGAAGGCGAACTCTCTGATCAGCGATGCCAAGGCTGCCAAGCTCGCCTACAGCATGGCCATCACCGCAGCAGATGCGTTGATCTCCGACGTGAAAGGTACCGACGAAAGCTGGACCGTGTTCGACACGCCAGGCCACATCGGAAAGGTGTTGAAAGCCAGGGAGAACCTCGACAAGGAGCTGAAGAGCAATGTGAACTTCTCGAAGTTCATCAGCGGCGACGTCGCGGAGATGCTCCAGAAGATCAAGGCGAAGAAGAACGAGGATGCCATCTCTCAGTTCGAGCGCTGGCTGCAGGACTTCAGCGAGAAGGTGAACCCTGGAAGCAACAAGCTCGTGAAGGCGACGCGTATGATTGTGTCAATGCACGACGCGTGGGTCACCGAGAGCGCGAAGCTCGCGAACAAGTCAGATGGCCAGAAGCGCATGCGGAGCTCGTCTGCGGCCTGATCGTCCTCGCGACGATCGTGCACTCCGTGGGCCTCGGCGTCACGGAGATGGGCAGCACGCGGGGTGCTGCGTACGGGAGGCGCAACTAGGAGGAGGAGGAGGAGGAGGAGGAGGAGGAGGAAGAGGATGAGGAGGAGGAAGAGGATGAGGATGAGGAAAAGGATGAGGATGAGGATGAGGATGAGGATGATGATGATGATGATGATGATGATGATGATGATGATGATGATGATGATGATGATGATGATGATGATGAGGAGGAGGAGGAGGAGGAGGAGGAGGAGGAGGAGAGAGAGGGGGAAAGATGGAAACAGGAGGAGGAAGATGAGGAGGGAAAGGAGAGAGGAGGAGGAGGAGGAGGTGGAGGAGGAGGAGGAGCTCGGAAACGTCTCAGGACCCCAGGGCTCGAGGGAAGGACGGACCCTGAGGACCAGGAGGAAGAGGTGGGGGGAGGCCTCCAGCCCCTGGTCAGGCATGCGGGCGTGTGGGGAGCACGCCGAGAGCATGCTGAGCGCTGCTGGCAGGCCCTGATCCCTCAACCGACACCTCAACCGACGGAAAAACCTGGACTCACCCTTCCTGGGACGGAAAAACTCTGACTGGGACGGAAAAACCTTGACTGGGACGGAAAAACCTGGACTGGGACGGAAAAACCTTGACTGGGACGGAAAAACCTGGACTGGGACGGAAAAACCTGGACTGGGACGGAAAAACCTGGAATCACCCTTCCTGTGACGGAAAAAGCTGGACTCAACGGGTCTCAACGCGACGCGTTGAGACCCGGTGATTCGCGTTGAGTGGGCCCTGGGACCCTGTGTTTTTACAGGGATGGTGAGACTCAACGCGTCTCAACGCGACGCGTTGAGACCCGGTGAGGTCCGTTGAGTCGGGGCTGGCCCGAGATTGACAGAACCGCTGGGGGCCGTGACCAACCAAATTTTCCTACACTGATCGGGCGGATCAGGCCGTTATCTCGGCAATCTCTGTTGACCTACCAAATCCCTGCCTGCTCCCTCACCTGATCCTCCTCCGAACCGCTTCGGACTGCCCTTCTCCCTGCCTGCCTGCTCCCTCTCTGATTCCTGCCTGCCTGCTCCCTGCCAGCTCCCTCCTCCCTGCCTACCTCCTCCTCCTCCATGCCTGCTCCCTCCTACCTCCTCCTCCTCCTCCTCCATGCCTCCTTCCTCTCTGCCTCCCCCTGCCCACCTCCTCCTCCCCCTACCTCCTCCTCCTCCCTGCCTACCTCCTCTTCCTCCTCCCAGCCATCTCCTCCCTACCTGATCCTCATCGCCCCTTCGCCCCCTGTCCTACAGGGATTGGGTACTGCCAGCCTCGGGATCATGCAGAATTGCGGCTGTGAGTGCCGATTGATCGTGCTTCGCGAATCGGCGCGTCTGGACAGGCTCATGGACGCCCCGCCTCACCCTCCCCATCGCCATATACTCCATGACCCCTCGGGCCGACTCGAGACCGCAGGCGGGATGCCTCGCGGTAAGTCGATTGGCTCGGGGGGGCGGGAGGATACGGCGTTAGGGGTCCTGGGGTCTCTTTGGGGGTCCTGGGGTCTCTTTGGGATTGTGTTGTTTGGGGATCTGTTGGGGATCGGAGACATGGGGTCTTGGGGATCTTGGGGTCCTGGCGATTCGGATTGGGGAAGTCTTGGGGCCCTGGGGTTCGAGGTTCTTGGGAGATGTGCAGTCCTTAAGGTTGTGGGGTCTTAAAGTCTTGGTGGTCTTGGTGTGGGAGTCTTACGGTCTTGGCGAGCTTAGGCTATTGGGGTCTTGGGGCATGTCTAGGAGGGCTGTCTTCGGTGGGGGAAGGGGGGGAGGGCAAATCCAAAGGGTTCTGAGGTTGCCTCTTAAGTATCTCAGCCCCCTGAACGATCCACCCTAGAAACCTTGAGGACTAACGTGGGGGGCCCTTGAGAGAATGAGAGAGAAGACGGAACCCCACTGACATTTTCCGCAAGCGTTTCGCCTCAGGTTTATGCGCCATGATGCCCACACCTGCCCGTGGCCAAAGTTTCAAACGACGGCGCCGTTTCATTGATCTTGAATCTTACGTGCCTGCGTACGAAAAACAAGAATACAATGATATGATGCATGATCTTCGGATTGCTGGTTGGAATTTGTTGCACCATCTGAAGTCATTATACGCCGTGGGGAAGATCTCAGCTCGAGACTTTGCAATCGCGTGTCATCACGCTGATGCGGCGGGTTGCGTGGGAGGAGAGTTTGCAAAATACGCCTTGCCACCAGACCTCCAAAGCGGAAAATATCAGACAAAACTTGACTCAGCTTTTTCGGACACACGTTTGCATGATATGATCAACGTTCCTTCGGCACCTCCGAAAAAGGGTTTAGAGTTGAGTGTTGATCTTCAGGTCCTCCTTGTATTCGAGAGCCTGGCAGATGAGGTTGCATCAACGCCTGGGCTTTTAGATAAAGTTGCGGCGATGGAATGGCCAGAGTGCTATCACCGCCACCCTGTCTTTAAGGAATGCGAGAGGAGCGAGCGCCGCGCGCCGATCCCTCTGGCACTGTACACGGACGGTGTCAGATACCAGAGTCCATTGGCAAGCAACGTCGACTCTATGACGGGGTTTTGGGTAGTAAACGTCGCCACTGGAAAACGACACCTCGGGGCGGTTTGGCGCCACAGTCAGTCTTGCAGGTGCGGTTGCAGGGGCTGGCATTCGATGTGGGCGATATTGAGATATCTACACTATTGTTTCAAAGCTCTTGCCAATGGACGACGGCCTCTGCATGATGTGAATGGCAACGCATGGCCAGCCAATCATATCGTGAAAACTGCATTGAACGATTTCGGTGAGGATTTAGGCTTCAACGCCCAAGTGCGTTGGCTTAAGGGGGATTGGTCGGACGTGGGGTCGACGCACGCGTTGCCCAGCGTCAGTTCTAAAACCAATCCTTGCCCCTTCTGTTGCTGCGCGAAGCATAGCATGCATGATGGGTATGCCGAAATGAGCTTGAGCGAGATCCCTTGGGAACCCGTGTTAGAGGGGGACTATGAAGATTTTTGCAAGATGTGTGAATTCACTTTGGATGTGGATGACGACGCAACCCTGCAAAAACTTGTCAACAAGATATCGCTCAACAAAGGCAAAACAGGATATGGCCCAACGCTGCACAGTGATCTCGAGTTCGATCACCTATCCTTGAAAGCAGGAGACGTGCTAACTCAGTCGGACACGCTCCAAAATCCACAGCAAGTGTTTCATGCAAAGCCACCTTTCAAAGCTGTGATGTGGAGATTTCAGAAGGACGAGACAAATAAGAGGTGTGGCCCTGCAGTTCATAGAAATCCATTGTTTTCAGGTTTAGGTATTGATCCTGCAACAGGCTGCGCAATAGATACAATGCACACGCTTTGCGGTGGGCCAATTATGAGAATTGCGAGCACGATTATCTGGAGGATAATATTATCGAACCCCTGGAATCTCCATGGGACCAAAGAAGCGAGACTCGACATGGGATGCAAGCACATGAGGGACATGTTGATGGAGTGGCAAGTCAAAGCTGAAATTCCTTGGGGGGATAGAATTGGTGACCTTACTCTATCTACATTGGGTGGGGAGCCTGTGGAGTCGGAGTACAACGACGACGGGGTTTTCACTGGTGGCACAATGAGGGTAAAATCGTATGAAAGTTTGATAATGCTTCAGTTTGCTATTTATTTGGCCGATCAAGACAGGTTTCGCAACATCCCATACCACAAACACGTGTTGGCGGCTGCCATGTCTGTCTGGGATTTCTACACTGCGCTGAAGGATGAGCCAATCGCCGTGCCCCGCCCTAGCATTCAAAAACTGTTCGACATGATGCAATCCTGTCTGCTACGGTGTGGACGCGCCCACGTGCACTTCGTTCCTAAGTTTCATTTCAGCGCCCACCTTGCGGAGAGGAGCGGGGCTTCGCACACCCGACCGACTGAGGGCACGAGGACGAGGTAGAGAGGAGGAGGAGGCAGGACGAGGAGGCGAGGGGCTACTAGCCCTCCTCCTCCTCATCCTCCTCCTCGTCTCCTCCTCCCCCTCCGCCTCCTCCTCCGCCTCCTCCTCCGCCTCCTCCTCCGCGTCCTCCTCCTCATCTCCTTTCCTATCCCTGTCCCCCTCGTCCTCGGATGCTCCTGCTCCTCGTCCTCGTGCCCGTCGTCGGTCGGTTGTCCGAGAAGTTCCATCAGGATCCAATGGCACGGAAATCCAACTTGGTATGCTGTGTGGAAAGATGAGGCACTGAATTTGATATTCAGAACCGTTGCGGAGCACGCGCATGCCAACAAGTTCGAGCATCGAGTGTTTAAGTCGTTTCACATCATCGCCGATCTCGGATTGGACTCTCGGATTTACACGCCGAAGCGTCTTTGACCTTGAGTAAGAGAAGATGCATCACCCTTCATCCACCTGACCCACTCTCTCTCTCGCTCTCGCTCTTGGTATCTCTCTCTCTCTCTCTCTCTCTCTCTCTCTCTCGCTCTCTCTCTCTCTCTCTCTATCTTTCTTTCTTTCTCTCCCTTTGTTGGGAGCCAGCTCTGACAAAGAACTCGAGCCGAATCCATTCGTGGCGGAGAAGAAGGAGGGGGAGGGGGAGGAGGAGGAGGAGGGGGACGAGGAGGAGGAGGAGGAGGAGGAGGAGGAGGGTGAAGGGGAGAAGCAGGAGGAGGAGGAGGAGGAGGAGGAGGATGGGGGGGAGGAGTCCCAACCGTGGCGACCAAGCGCATCTGGCTTTCCCCTGCGGGTGGGTGTGACCTAGCGCGGCTCGGACGGCATAGAGACAACAAGTATACTGACTGATGCATCGGGAGCTTGCGCATGCTATGCGAATGAAGCTGCATGGAACATGCTATGCTATGCTATGCTATGCTATCGGCTATCCTAGGTTCTGGAACGCTGTGCGATGCTACGTTGGATGCAACAAACAACGCTATGCAATGCTAAGTTGGACGTAACAAAACAGGCTGTGCAACGCTATGCTATGCTG